CCCATCATACACATACCTTAACTTACGATGAAACAATTAACCTTTTGGCATTAAATGACCTAATAAGAGTTGATATGCCATTAAACTCAACAATTCATTCAATTCATGAAAATCCGTAGACATCAGACTGCATTTTTACAGAGCAGGCAATTTAACAAATTGGTTTATTTAAAACCAGTCCCCAAGCATTTGAGACCACTGACCCTCTTCATGGAATCCTTAATCATCATGTACATAAAAATATCAATATTTTATCAAAAGTAGAACTTCCTTTGTCTTTTTCCTATATTAGTATCAATAGGATACATTTCAGTTTTGTGTCTTATTTATTTTTCTATTTCTCTTCCTATATTCAACACATTTGCTTGAATAATAATAAACTTCATAAATAATATGGCTAATAATAAATGCATTAAGGATAAATTAATATACTGTATTTTCTTGTGTATGAAATGATGAGTATAATATGACATTGTGTTTAACAATAAATTAGCCACTGTATGTTCCTTCTCTTAATTTCTGTTTTAAAACTTACTATCAGTAGAGCCCTGCGTTGCCCAGGGGATGTAACAGTAAGAGATAGATCGAGTATCGACCATCATAAAGACTGAAAAATAAAATTGACAAAGATTATTGTTTAAGGTTGACGGACACGCATGTTTTAATTAGTTATTTTTGTTTTGTTTGTTTTTTTGTTTTTTTTACGAATTGGTCAAACTCAAACAAAAACATTGTTTTCAATCGTTATGAGTCTACCGATTGAATAGAATTTTATTATAAACAATTGTCTTGTAAATTTAACTTTTAAAGCATTGTGAATGTAAAAATAAAGAAAAAAGAGTGCAAGACAATAAGAAACACTACCTGCCCAGTTTTGTTGAAATCGGTTGGAAAAATGTAGGAAATCCAATCCCATATATAAACGAACACACACACACGCAACCTGGGTTTTATAAGTATAACTCGATGAGTTGTCTCCCTTTCATTCTTCTGATGCCTCTTAATCATGTTTTCAAATTGATTTTGTGCAAAAACAATTGTTTTTCCAATTTTTGGTGCTGTCAGAAGCACCGCAAGGTAATTTTACGTAGTCCTGTGAAGTTTTGTTGAAATCGGTTGAAAAATGTAGGAAATACGATCCCATATATAAACAAACAGGCACACACACACACACACACACACACACACAATCTGTGTTTTATAATAAGTAAGATTTTAGGAGGAAAGGTTCTAACTAGATATATCTGGTTTTGTTTTATGACTTTTATATTTTTATATAATAAACTATGAAAAAAAAAAGTCTGCCATTAAATTAAGAGAAAATCAAAATATAAACAAAATTGTGAGCAAGACTGTTCAAATTTTAACAGATCACAACATCATATCTGAGAAAGGAAATTTAAATTTTTATTATTGCATTATGCCAAAATTCTAACACATCAGCAGATAGTTATTAATGTCAACAACTGAGCACAAATAGTTATTAATTAAAAAAAATTAGTAATTAATGTATAATATTATTCATAACTACATGTACAAGAATGTTGTTTTTGATAAAAGTTAAAAAAAAAAAAATAACCATAAATATGTAAAAAATGCATTATATTGTTGAAAATTTCTTTTCCTACAATATAGCAATTTGTCTGTGTTATAATGCTTATTACCTAAAGAATAATAATAATAGTGAATAAATATTTTTAAATATTAAGGTAAATATTAATCATATCTCACTAATAGCTGTTACGATCTGTAAACATTAGGCTGATTCCCAAGGCACAAATACAGCTAAAGTATTAAATATCTTTTATAAACAATTATCAATGCTTGGTATTTTATTATCTATTGTGGTGGGTGGATTTTCAAACTTGCCATTCCAAATGAGAGGGTTTTATTTTTTTTAATTCTTTTTAAGCTGAATAAAAATTTCGGAAAATATATACTTTTGTTCAATATAACATCTATTTTTTTGCCTTTCATTTTCTTGTATTATACATGAGAAAATATAGTACTTTTTTTTTTTTTTTTTTTTTTTTTTTTATTGAATTGGCTGACATCTTTATTGGGGAGGATATGTTTGATCAGCAGTAGCAAGGACATTGATATTGGGTTAGAAAATTTTAGTTGTAAGTCTCTGCAATTTACTTATCACCCACCTTTTGATTCTCCCAAACATTTACTGACTTCCTGAATTGTACTATTGACACCTGGAGGTTAATATTGACCACTTTGGGATCTCTGATTTAAATCCTCCTCCTTAACAGGTTAATATATATCTGGATTATATTTGGAAACTCAAAATATCTCTGGCTTGACTGATATTTCAAGATTTTGGTACCTAAGAGATAATATGGAATTATTGCAAAGGATAAATTTGAAACTGGATCATGAAATCAGTGATGACCATTGTTATGGGAGAAAATAATAATAAAACCAACATTTGTATCTATCTATATCCCCGAAATGAGGTGTTATGATTAATTACATTATTTATGTTATTTGGGTTGTTATCCTCATCTTCATTGTCATATTCACAACGTTTTGGCTGTTGTACACTCATGCTTGTGGAACGAGAACAATCTACACTGTTGGATGAAATAAATGGTTTGGTTTAAAATTCCAATCACCTGAAGAAAGCCAGAGTGTACAATGGCCGAAATGTTGTGAATATGGCAATGAAGATGAGGATAACAGTCCGAATAATGTAAGTAATCATAATACTTCATCTCAGAGATATAGACAGATATATAGAGAGATAGACATAAAGGCTGGGGTATACACTGGCTAAAACATTGTGAATATGGCAATGAAGATGAGGATAACAGTTCAAATAATGTAAGTAAATAAAATCATTTAAAATCTATTTATTTGTAAATGAATTCATAAATTTATCAATCGCTTTGTTGTAGAAGTATCATATCATATATAGATTCCAACAGATGTACAAGTAGTTGACTCTTTGAAGATAAGTGTATCATCTTTTAGGATCCTTTGATATATATCGGAGCCCAAAGAACCTTTCATGTACCTTGTCAAGCTGTATTTCTCCTTTTCCCCCCTTGTAAATACTGTAAGAGAAAAGACCAATAAACCATCAAAATAAAAAAGGGAAGGGTTGTTGTAAATACACATTATCACTGAAGTAAGTCTTGTATATCTCCAGTTAATTCTAATCTGTGATTTTTAAAAAGAAAAGATATAGGCTTTAGAAAAGAAAGAATATGACTCTTGGATTATAAAATGGACTTTTTCTTGACCAATTTTTTTTTTTTTTATTTTTTTAAATTTTTTTTTTAGCTTAAAATTAGACTTGTATCAGAGTGAAGAATTTGTTTGAATATTTGCCAAACTTTTCTTTTTAAAACCAGTCACACTTAACTTTCTCAGGTTTGGGAAAAAAGTTACGTGCTCTAAGCATTCTGTTTATTTTATTATTTTTTATCCTATTGTCCAAAGCCAAATAGCTTGAAATTTGTGGCTCTCAATTGTTAGTGTTTTCAAGTACTTCAATTCATTTTTCCATAATCAGTATTAACCACTTGATAAAACAAAACCTGCCATTTCCTAAATGAGTAAATAGTTTTCTTAACAAAATGCTTATCAATGGTTTTACCATTTTGGGATGGAATATCAAACTCTTTGATTGACATTGAAATTTGACTGCACTCAGTGTTGAATTAATCGGTTGGTGCTGGAGTTGGACTTGTGGAAATCTTAATTTCTCTTTCTTGAGACAGGAAAGTGATTTGGAGGGAAAAATTTATAAAAAATGAGAAACAAAATTATTTTTAATTTCTTTTTCATTCATTATTGATATTTATGGATTTTAGATAAAATAAGACATCAAAAAATGACTCTCTTCCATTCATTCTAACCATTAATTAAAAAAAACAAAAAACTGAAAATCATTTGATAAATTGATTGTTCGTTGCTTTGATGTGTGACTTCCTTATTAAAACAAAAAACCTTACAAGAATTTATTTAATTTTTTTTTTCTTTTTAAACATTCAGATTATCAATGAAAAGTGGATACTTTATGACAAACGCAGAATAAAAAATTGAAGGTCAGATGAAATGAATGACCAAAAAGACAGGTTTTCATCCCAAGAAACTGGCATATATGTTAGGACTGGGAAAGAGTTCCTTTTGCTGAATCAAACAATTGGTTCAAATAGGTTCTGCCTCCAGTTAAATCAGTTGAAGGCAGATATTGATGACTGTCTGGAATTAAGAGAACGGCTGTCATGTTCTATCAGTTTAATGCTTGATCGCATGTTTCTTGTCTTGTTACAGCTTTGGTTGGGAAGTTTTTATGTATCTGTTATATTCAGTAGATATTGCGTCATTGAATTATTTATTCCAGTCTTTGTAGAAATCTCTTCATAAAAGAATTCTATCCCCTGGAAGAATTATTTAGTTCCACTAATTCAGACCTTTACAGCTAGGACACATCATGCTAGTTTCACATCATCAAATCACCCTGTATTTCAAATATAAGATTTAAAATTTCACTTGGGCAGCTTTTTGTCCTCAAGAAGTAGTCATTTGTGGAACAGATTTCCACTTGAATGAATCCCTGAAAATTACACTTGAAGAGGTTAAGATTGTAAGTCTTTTATCTATCCTCTTTGTCTTCACAGTCTCCATTTCTTACCATTTTCATTCATATCATACACCTTTTATCATTACCATTTTAACAGTAATGCTCTATCTTGAGTGGCTCTCAGGCTTTGTATTGGGTGAACTTCAGTATTTAAAAAAAAAAAAAAAGCACATAGACCTATTCTCTTCTGAAAAAGATTGAAAAAAAATGTTTTGCAGAATGGAATTATAAAGTTGCCTGAAAGATGGCAAAAAATAGAGGTGCAAAATAGTAAATGTTTTGTTCAATAAAGTTTATGTACCCCCCCCTCCAAAAAAACAGTATGAAACTGCCTTTTAATTTTATATAAATTAAATACTATCTTCATAGGTTGTAGATAGTATTTATTTAATTTCTAGATATGTTTCTGACTGTTTCAAGTAATTTTCTTTTGTATCAAATTTTTTTTTCTCATTACTTTTTTTTATTATTTCTTCTCTGCAAAAATTTACTAGTTTCTTCTTTTGCCTTTCATTTCAATTGTCTTTTGCTATCTGTGAACCTTATGCTTTTCTTTATTTTTTCTTCTCTGCCTCTTTCTGTCTCACTCTGCCTCTTTCTGACTCACTCTGCCTCTTTCTGCCTCACTCTGCCTGAAAAGGCGTTACAGTTGATTTTTGCTTTACTTGCATTTGCAACTATATAATCTTGAATTCTACACAAGTTTTGCTGATGTAACCTTTTATCATCTACCTCTGTGATATTCATTGAATTTCAGATAATGTTCACATTGTACAATATTTTTACTGGTATCTTTTTCTGTTTATAGCATATAGAATTTACCCATTACTGAATCCAGAAAGTTTTTTGGGGGTTGTATAACTTCCTACAATGCTGCAGTGATGTACCCCTGGAAAATTCAATGGCTCCCAATTAAAGTTTCTTAATAAATTTTTGTGTTAAACTGCAGGCCTACAGACTTTTTTGTTTGTTACCGTCATCTGAAAAAACGATTTTTATCATGCCGAAATACCTCTTTCCAAATTTTTTAATTAAATTAATAAATTAAAAAAAAAAAAAACAATATTTACACTTAATCACAGTTCAGTTAACATGCTATATTTTCTTGAATTATGACAAAACAAAACTTATAAATTCACAAAACAGAAGTTTTTTTTTTTTCTTGGTTGAATCAATAAATTTAAAAGAAACAGTATTTAAAGCAAGTGTTGACAAACTTCAATGAGTTTGGGTGCAGCAAAAAAAAAAACATGAAGTGAGAGTTTCTGGTAAAGTGACATTGATGTCTATTTTATGCCACTCACACATCCCACCAGCCAGTGAAAGAAGGAAACAGTAAGTGAAAGAAAAAAAAAGGAAAAAAAAAAAAACTAGTAAAAAAATTTTTTGAAAGAATATGTGCAATGTATCGCTTTTCATGGGAAACTTTTGTTGCGTCCATGGGACACACAGATGGGAAATTTACTGCATCCTTTAAGATTTTGTGTGTCAGGGACACAGCATGCAGACATATCAGCATCTTTGATTCTGCATAGTATAATTCGGGTTGGCAACCTTTTGGAGAGAGTGCGCCATTGTCTTGGAGGAGGGCCATGATATCAAATTGTCTTGATCTCAGACAGCTTTGTCCAGAACGCTGTCTTGGTCTGGAAGTTTAAAGAAACAACAACAAAGTTAATGCTATATTATTTAAACAAGGGGGTTTGGAAATTACCAGCAATACATTTTTTTTAAATAATACTAGCTATACATTTTTTTAGAAAAAAAAAAAAAAATTAACAGAAATTTTTGACAAAACAAAATATTACCAGGAAGGAAAAAGTTGTCGGCATTAAATAACCTATTGAGGTTGATATACCGTAAAATAAACCAAGCCAATCATCCTGGGCCCCTGCTGTCCATGATTAGTTATATGCATAGAGGCAGATATACCAGTTGCTCAGGTTTATAGTGATTTTCCAAGCGTAGCTTAGATATGGCACAAGGCTGAAAGTAGGTGGCGCCCAGTAAGGATTGAACTCACGACTCAGTTGTAATTGTTCTAGCAAGACAAGCTTGCTAACCATTACACCACTTCAAGGTGCCTGATGCTCAGGTTTATAATTTGGAAAAATTTATTCTGGTTTGGATTTATAAAGACAAGAGAAATATTGCTTTTAATTTGTCCCAAATCTAAAGAAATCAATTTTACAATTTTTTTTTTTTTTTTTTTTTTTTTATCTTTTATATATAATCTTTATCGACAGTATTTAATATAGATACTGCCAAACATTTTATAAAAAAAAAGATATAATGAAAAAGGCCCCAAACTTGATAAAAGAAAAGTTTCAGCAAAATGTTTGTTATTATTAAGAGAAAAGACCAAAGTATTTTTATTAAATTTTTTAATCCTTTTTAGCATGTTTGAAATTTTGATTAAAAATCTTTGTGGTGTTCTTTGCATCAGCAGGTGGACTAAAGATTAGCATTGGAAATTTTAGCATTCTTTTTGGTGTTAAAAAAAACAAAACAAAAAAAACGACGTTTTTGAAAAATTTGCAAAAATCAAATTTTTGGATTTTAATGAAATCTTAAGGTCTTATGAACAAATGAATTATTTTTTTGTATTTTTTTATATAGAAAATCTTCATAAAAAAATATTTTTATGATAAATTCAATAAAACTGTAACTTAATTGTAAAAATTTTTAACTGATTTTATCAATAAGTTATATTAAGGACAATATTGTCTTAAAAAAATATTTTTTGATGAATAAATTTTTACAAGAATTGTTTACATATTTTTTAAAAAATTTTAATTAGAATAATTTATAAAGTTTAAAAACTTAAAATTCTGTATTAATTACAACCATTTTAGATGATATTATTAAGTGAAAATTATATCTACTAATCATAAATGAAAAACTTTGTACAAATCATTAAACACTAAGATTTTAAAAATAATTTTTTTTGTAGATACAGGTGACCATACCTGACATTATCAGATAAAAGTGGTAACTATAGTAAATTTAAAGCTAAAATTTTTGAAATTCAATAAAGCATTAGATTAGAGGATATTTTCCCAAATTTTTAAGATTACTGAGTACTTAAAAATTATATATATAATTGAAGTTTTTGGGTCTTGTTTTGAAACATGAAAACTGTCATGTAGCAATGGAATCATATTTTTAAATAATTATATTTATGCTCTACTTTTGTATCGAGCACTATTTTTTAAAAATAATAACAAAAATACTAAAGAACTTTGGATTATTTACCTAATGAGTTTTCCTATTTTCTATATATTTTTGCACACACACACACATATATATATATATATATATATATATATATATATATATCTCCACTAATGTTGTTTTCTTCACTTAAATTTTACAGATAAAGGCCCTGTAGAACAACATTAGATCCGTCATATTGTCAACACAATGAGAAAAAAAGATCTTAATAAAAGAATGCATTTATGTGTTTTTTTAAACTTAAATAATATTTGTTTAAAATCAGATTAATTATACTTTAAATCAGGTAATATTCCTCAAATAAAGTTTCAGAAATGTATATTTTATTTTTGGAAGAGTTTTTTAATAAATTACACTGTGATGATAGATGACTAAAAAGGACTGCTAATAAAAAAAAACAAAAAAACTCCTAGTCAATTTAAATTACTTTTTTTTTTTTTTTTTTTAAATCAAGCAAAGTATTTTACTTATTGAAAATATTAAATTTAATCTATCAGCTTGAATTTAAACCTAAAATAAAAGCTTTAAACATGATTTTTCCTTTTTTGAAAATTCATTTTGAAACCTTATGTATCACATTTTCTGTGGCGAACCTATAGAATTGTTAAATGCTTTCTGGTAGTCATGAAGCCTATAGTAAACTTTAATTCTATTCTATAATATATGTAAAAGAGACATGTCTCATATAAACCTTTCTTGTGCGTGTATCATTTTTTTTTATTTTCAAAGAAAAAAGATAAAATATCCTCGAAATATGTTTGCTTAATTGTGAACCAGGTCACTCCATGGTAATCTTGTATTACTAATTTCAAATGTTAGTATTATTTTGAGGGGAAGTAAAATAGGAATCCTACTATGTTTTAATGATGCCCGATTTCCTATTACTGTTTACTTTCACCTCAAGGTCATCAGTGCTTCAGTTAGTTTCACGAGAATTTCCTCCTTTTAATGGTTTCTTATAGTTTAGGATTTTGTTTGTAAAGTATTTTTGCTCTTTAATCATTTTAATCTCTTAAAGTGTAACTTTCTTGACAAATTACTCTTTTTAAAAGAAATTTAATGTTTTAATATTGTAATATATAGACATATTAGTCAAAAGTTTTATTTTTAAATAACTTTTTGTGTAATTCTCTTTTCTTCATTTTTTCCTTTTTTTTCTTCCTTTTTTTTTTTCTTCCTTTTTTTTTTTTTCACCTTTTTCTTTTTTTCTCACCTTTTTCTTTTTCTTTTCTCTTTTTTTTTCTTTTTTTTTCTCTTTCCTTTCTCTTTTTTCCTTTCTCTTTTCCTTTCTCTTTCCTTTTTTTTTTCCTTTTTTCCTTTCTCTTTTTTTCTTTTTTTCCTTTCCTTTTTTTTTCTTTCTCTTTTTTCCTTTCTCTTTTTTCCTTTCTCTTTTTCCTTTCTCTTTTTCCTTTCTCTTTTTCCTTTCTCTTTTTCCTTTCTCTTTTTCCTTTCTCTTTTTTCCTTTTTTTCCTTTCTCTTTTTTCTTTTCTCTTTTTCCTTTCTCTTTTTTCTTTTCTCTTTTTCCTTTCTCTTTTTTTCCTTTTCCCTTTTTCCTTTCTCTTTTTTCTTTTCTCTTTTTCCTTTCTCTTTTTTTCCTTTCTCTTTTTTCCTTTCTCTTTTTTTCCTTTCTCTTTTTCCTTTTCTTTTTTCCTTTCTCTTTTTTTCCTTTCTTTTTTTTCCTTTCTCTTTTTTCCCTTTCTTTTTCCTTTCTTTTTTTTCCTTTCTTTTTTCCTTTCTCTTTTTTTCCTTTCTTTTTTTTTCCTTTCCTTTCTTTTTTCCTTTCTCTTTTTCCTTTTTCTTTTTCCTTTCTCTTTTTTCCTTTCTCTTTTTTCCTTTCTCTTTTTTTCCTTTCTTTTTTTTCCTTTCTCTTTTTTCCTTTCTTTTTTTTCCTTTCTCTTTCTTTTTCCTTTTTCTTTCTTTTCCTTTCTCTTTTTTCCTTTCTCTTTTTTTCCTTTTCTCTTTTTCCTTTCTCTTTTTTTCCTTTCTTTTTTTTTCCTTTTTCTTTTTCCTTTCTCTTTTTTCCTTTCTCTTTTTTTTCCTTTTCCTTTTTTTTTCCTTTCTCTTTTTCCTTTCTCTTTTTTCCTTTCTCTTTTTCCTTTCTCTTTTTCCTTTTTTTTTTCCTTTCTCTTTTTTCCTTTCTCTTTTTCCTTTTCTTTTTCCTTTCTCTTTTTCCTTTCTCTCTTTTTTTTTTTCTTTTTCCTTTCTCTTTTTTCCTTTCTCTTTTTTCTTTTCCCTTTTTTCCTTTCTCTTTTTTCCTTTCTCTTTTTTCCTTTCTCTTTTTTCTTTTCTCTTTTTCCTTTCTCTTTTTTCTTTTCTCTTTTTCCTTTCTCTTTTTTCCTTTCTCTTTTTTCCTTTCTCTTTTTTCCTTTCTCTTTTTTCCTTTCTCTTTTTTCCTTTCTCTTTTTTCCTTTCTCTTTTTTCCTTTCTCTTTTTTCCTTTGATGCAAAAAAGGGTTCTTTTTTTCCGGTTTGTACTCATACAGTAAGATTATTTGACATTGTTTCATTGTAATCATTTTCATTGGGCTTCTCAGTAGCAATATATTGAAAGAAAATATATATGAAAAGGAAAAGTCAGGAATAAGTCAAGATATTTTTATTACTAAGGAGGTTACTTTATTAGATCACTAGATCAACAAACAACCAAAATATGCATCATTTCATGTGACAGACACACACACACATATATACATATATATATATATATGTGTGTGTGTGCACGCAAAAGTACACATGTATCTGCATTTATATTAATGCTTAAATAGTAAATGTTTTTTTTTATGTTTGCACTTATCCATTATTTTCTTTTTCTTTAATATTTTTTACTTTTGATTTGGCTTGGTGGTAGTTTAAATGTTAGAGTATTAATTATGCATGGTTAGGGTTATAGATGTATCTCTTTGTTGTTTGAATATATATATATATACACACACACACATATATATATTAATACATATATATATATATATATATATATATTAACACACATATATATATATATATATATATATATATATATATATATATATATATATGTATAAACACAAAATATGATTTTAAGGTTTGCTATAATTATGGGTAAAAGTGCTTAATATCTGGGATAGAGATTGTGTAAATCTAAAAGTGGGAATTGAGGTCCGCACAGTGGCGCCAGTCTTTCATGCTTGAATGCAATCTTCAGGTCATAGTCCACTTAATAAAATTTGAGGAATAAAATGCCAGCAAAAGGATAATATTGGCAATAAGTTTTATATTTGACTAAATTGAAGCATGAAGAGAAAAACTACACACACACACACACACACACACACACACACACACACACACACACACACACACACGGTCTATCAAAAAAATACTTTTACAAACTTTGCTAGTGGGTTTCTTGCACCAACACAAAGACAAACATATGTCTGCAAATTCTTCATTTTTGAGTTAAGTTTAAAGAAAGTTTACAGCAGAATCAGGAACCAGCTCTTGAAGTTGGTAAAGGGTATTTTTGGGTTCTATCTTGGATTTAACAGTGTGTACTGTAATCAAAAAACGAAGGATTTGTGGACATAGGTTTATATAGACTTTTGTCTTTGTGTGTGGAAAGTGTGTGTGTGTGTGTATATATATATATATATATATATATATATATATTTTTTCATACGCTCTGTGTGTTTGCTCCGTACTGTATGTATTTTTTTTAACTTTGAGCACTGTTATAACATTCATGTCCTTGATGCAAATTTTATTATTGTGATATATAATATTAAACTAAGGCAAGTTTGTCACAATACCAGATTGCAGGTACATTTGGTAAACAATGAATTCACTTGTATTCTCTTGCTCATTACTTGTTGGATGAGGCAAAATTGGCCTGAGTCTAGTCAGGAATGAACTCTCAACAATATTTTGAGGAAATGAAGCATAATCTAATTTTAAAACACTGACTTAACATTTAATGAAAAACTAGATAATTGTTAGAGAAAGCCAACTTTGGTACAAGGCCAAATTTCCTGAGCATTTGCATTGAAAACTAGAATTTGGACATAAATGCCACTATACTATTTTAACAGCTGTAAGAAAAGATAATTATGAATAATGTTTTTTTTATTAAACAGCTTTCAATATTATTTTGTTATCTCTTGTAGGTAAGCTTCCTTGTTGGATGATTTGTGTCCTGCGAAGATGGCCTCTGCCTGATTTCAGCTGACCATTCTGGAACCCAAGGTAACTTGATATTTTTTTTTATTCAAATTCTCTTCCAAAATAACTTTAAGATACTTTATCCTGAAACATTTTTTTTTTCTTTCTTTAAATGCTCAGAAATTTTAGCCACCCTGTGAACGCCCTCCCCCCACTACTCAATATTTTATAACACACACATTCTGAGTCAAGTTGATTTCATTGTTTTGTTAAAATACTTTCAAACTGAAATTAATCACAATAATAGATTGTCAAAATGCTGATTGTGTTGAAGCCATTCGCATTTATCTGTTTGGCATGTACAGATAATTGTTTCACATTTGGTCAGTTGATTTCTCAAATTATTATTTTTTTTAAAAATTTGGTTTGCTGTATTTAGAGGGTGATAGCTTAATATAAAAAGTACTTTTTATATAGTACTTTATATAAAAAGTACTTTTTATATAGGTACCACCACAGAGAATACGACACCTAAGGTTTAAAATGAACTTATGAAAATCTTTCTTGAAGGTTTTATTCTACTTTTAATTTTAATTTAGTAGATTAAATTTAATATCCCCGATAAGCAAAGTACTTCACAATATTTCAAAAACTAATTTAATTTTACTGGAAGGTTTTTTGTTGATAAAATAGGCGATTGGCACACCTCCCATTTTTTTTTTTTTTTTTTTTTTTTTTTTTTTTTTTTATAGCCATCTTTCATTGCAATGTAATTTTCTTTTATTAAAAAAAAAAAAAATCTAAAAATAAAATACTTTTCTGAAACTTTATTTGAGGAATATTAGCTTATTTGAAATCTTAGAAGGTTGTCTGTCGTCTAATGTTTTATTGAATTTTAGATACTTTCTGGCTTCAAATTTACTATAGTCATTGCTCTAATTTTCTGATAATATCATGTATGGATGCTCATATCTACAAAAATTAGTATATTTATGCACATGCAAAAAAAAATTAATCTTTTTAAAAATATTGGTTTTTGATGATTTGTATTAAGCTTTTCCATTTATGATTATTAAATATAGTTTTATTCATTGCAAAAAGTTTTTTTTTCTTTTTTTTTTTTCTTAAGACAATACTATCTTTAATATATTTTATTCATAAAAGCAATTAAAAGCTTTTCTAATTAATGTCATGATTTTATTGCATATTTTTATTTTATGATTCAGAGAAAATTTTTGGTAAATGGTGTTTCTGTTTGATAAAAACAAATTGATGATTTAAATTCTCCAAGGAGGAGTCTTGCTTTTAACTAATATGAAGAGGGTGGCATTTTAATTTTCCTGAATTTCATAAAATTAAGTGACGGTAACAAATGTTGTGTGTGTATATATATATATATATATATATATATATATATATATATATATATATATATGTGTATATATATATATATATATATATATATATGGTTCTATCAAATAAAATATATATATATATATATAATGTATGTGTATATATATATATATATATATATATGGTTCTATCCAACCAAATATGTTAGCTCTATCTCTGATATTGAGTTTTTTTTCTAATAAAGTAATAAAAGATATAATATATAAATAATTATACATATATATATATATATTTATTTATATACACTTTTCATATATATATATATATATATATATATATATATATTTAACAAAGACTTTCAAAAAAAAAAAAAAATTTTTTTTTTTTTTTTTTTTTTTTAAATATTTTGTTCATATGTGAAGTCCTGAAAATTTAATTAAAATTCAACAATTGTTTCATGTCTTTTTTTTGTTTTCTTTATCATGATTTGGTATGATGTAAATTTTATATTTAATTTAGTAATTTTAAAATTACTGACAAAATACACACAAATATCAATTTCATAATTCAGGGAGATGCAGCAGGAACAGTCAAAACTTTTGATGATTCATTTGTATGTGTATATATATATATATATATATATATATATATAGTTGTATATTTAGGCAGCAATCCTTCCTTTATGCATGTTTCATTAAAAATGGCAGACAAGGTACTACAGTTAAGCTTTTTATTTAATTTTTCTTGTGTTCTAACAAGAGCTTTCTTTTCTGGACAAAGGGTGTAAGAACTGTCCAAATGTTTTATATTTCCAAGCGCTTTCGGCTATACCTTTAGCCATTATCAAGGATGATTCAGTTTTTCAGCTTAAATGAGTGTGTTCGTTCTGTGTATGTCTTAGTGTGTGATAGGGATGTTTTTAATTTCTGAATACGGTTAGCACATTGTGGCTTTGTTCGTAGTTAATATTGTTGGCTTTTTCTTTTTTATTATTAAAGCTTCCATTATTTTTAATCTTTTTTTTACAGGTGGATGCAGTTAATATATTTGTTTTTTCTACTAGTATGTTTCTAATGGAGTCTGTTAAATTTGTGTGTGTGTGTTTAAATGGGTTCTAATGGAGCTGTGATCAGATAGGTGTAACGTAAGATGCCTGGATAAGCATGTAGTTGTGTAACCGATGTAATTATTTATGAGTCTGGTTTGATCAGGAACACAGTTCCTTAAGGAGCATTTGAACTCATGTCCAGCAAAGAAAGCTCTTGTTAGAACACAAAAATTAAATAAAAAGCTTAACTGTAGTATTTTTTTTTTTTTTTAATAAAATGTGCACACACACACATTTTTTATATATATATATATATATATATATATATATATATATAAAGATAAAAGAAAAGTAAATGTTTGAACAAGATCCAAATGGTGTGATTCTTCATATCTATTTCTTGAATAATTAATAGTTCCTGCTTAATCTGTAATTTGGAAATTATTCTTTGGGTGCTAAGTGTTATCTTTAACCTTTTCTCTTCTGATAATTGTGTAGTTGATTTCCTATCCCATGGCCCGCTAAATAAAGTTCCTCCATTCTCTTTTATTGGTTTAATTTTATTCTCATCTTGGGTTATTCTTTCCTCTTGGTTCCTACTTTATTTGTCTAACTATTTATAATGGATTGGACATTGTACAGAAGAATGGTAGCATACAAAATCAAATCACCAACATTCTTCAGGGCTCTCTCCTGCTTAGTAACTTTCTTGGAATTTCCAACTGAACCCTTTCTATAATTTATATCTCTCCTGCTTAGTAACTTTCTTGGAATTTCCAACTGAACCCTTTCTATAATTTATACATTGTTCTCATTCAACTTTCCATACTTAAGAGAAATCCCATACCAATTAATTCTGTCTAGTCTATTTCACTTTATGTTGCTTGTCTATTTCTTTCATAGAAGCATAAATGACTTTTCTACAGAACTCACCATAGGAAGTGAATTCCAGATTGTCAGGAAATTGTTTTTTGGATAATCAAATGGGGTAATTATTGAGTTTTAAACCCAAGTGCTGTACTCAGGTGGTAGTATTTTTGAGTATCCTTCCTTCCTTAATTAGACGCCCCCAGTTTGTGTTTGTTTCTACACTAGGTCTACTGAAGAGGTTGTCAAAAACTAACATCTGTATTGATTCTTTTAGTCATCCACAATGTTGTTCTTTATCTATTATCCTTTGATTTCATCCTTTTCTCTACATATATAATGAGACATACCTGATTTCAATGTTTCTCTTTGGATCACTGTCTTTTTGTCTTCCTCCAACCTTTTGGGGAAGGTTAGTCTTGCTCTTGTATTCCTTACCATAACTACATGAAATAGAAGACATAATAGTTCTTGGTTATGTTCACTTCTGAGTTGACTTCATTTGGGAGCGATATCTCAGAAGGGTTGAACTGCTTTCAAGCATGATCTTGATGTTGCATGTAATGCAGATCTTCTGAATATTTTAATCTTTTCTGATATACCGTTTATGTACGGTAAACACACAATGGCAGTTTTAATTATTGTCCTTGACCTTTCTGTCTTGGCTAATATTATGATTGCTGGATAGTTGTCATTTTGACAGATGTTTCCTGGCAGTCAAGAGTTCAATCCCTGGGTTGGATAGAGCAGTTATACACTGGAAGTGATGCAAATATTATTTATTTAAAATTTTTTTTTTTTTTTTTTAAGTGTTTTACCCTCAAGCAAGGTGGGAGAGCCACTAGTACACAGGGGGTGGTGTACAGAATGAAAGTGAGGTATAGAGGGGGTTTGAAAGTGCGTATAGAGGGGATTGAAGAAAGAATAAAATAATAGCAGGGATCATGGCAACAGAAGATGGCGATTGACATTGCATTTAAATTTTTGAAGATGGTAGTTATCAGGGAAGCAAGTAAGAGGAAGGGAGTTCCACTGTTTGGAAGTGTGAGAAAAGAAACTGCTGGAGTAGAAGTGGTGGCTGCATTTAATTGTTTCAGCAGTAAAAGGATAGGACTTAGATGCCAATCTAGTAGCATGCTTAAATTCATGTAGGTGGGTCATCAGGGAAGATAGATCATCCAAACAGTTGCCATGAAAATATTTGTAGAAAAGATAGAGGGAAGCCACATCAAGTCTGAGAGAGAGTGACTGAAGTCAAGATGTCAAGTCAGGACCAATTACATTGCAGAGCATTCTTTGGATTTTACAAAGAATCTTGAGATGAACAGCAGGGGCACCAGACCAGATATGGCAACAATATTCAATACATGGATGAATGGTGAATTTGTAGATGTGTAAGATGGACTCTGATGAGAAAAAAAACTTTTTGGTACAAACACAGTGAACCCAACTTTCCTTGCAGAAGATTTAGCTATTGATGTAACATTAGGGTAAGGAGCATTTGAACTGTAAGAACATTATCTATGAGTTCAAATGCTTAAGGAACTGTGTTCCTGATCAAACCGAATTCATAAATAATTACATCGGTCACACGACTATATGCCTGTCCAGACACCTTATGTTATACCTATCTGACCACAGCTCTATTAGAACCCATTTAAACAAGCACACATAAACTTACCAAACTCTATCCAAAACATACTAGTAGAAAGTACAAACATAATAACCTCATCCACATGTTAAAAAAGAAAAAAAAGATTAAAAATAATGGAAACCTTAATAATAAAAAAGAAAAAGCCAACACTTACTAATATTA